CAATATGAGGAAAGAGAAAGTAAGAAAACCCAATGGCCAAAATCAACTCCACTTTAGGAAGGTGTCAAGAAGGAACTGGGATTCAGACGTGAGTTACTTTATGACAACCAAGGTTGCCTTTTCAAAGCATTTTCATGTTTGCTGCCTCACAGGGCCCTCATAGCCTTCAGATGTGGGGGGAAAGCTTCGTGTTGGTATCAGGCCCATTTCACAGAAGCGGAATGAGCTTCAGGAAGGTGGTGCGACTGGCTTGGTGTGAAGGTTGCAGCTGAGCGTGGCCAAGGCCCAAAGCCCCCTTCTCTCCTGCCACTGCAGGTGCAAGACCGAAGGCCGCAGCTTTGGAGGAGGCGGTGCATCTGCCAGCTGGGTGTGTTCGGACTTATGAGAACCCCCACGAAACAAAACGTAAGCATCCGTCCAGAAATCTGCAACCCGGGAACCAGCTCGGGCATGCGTTCGGCAGCCTGAGGCCGCAGCACGTCTGGCAGGTTCTCTCAAGGTCACATTCCCTCATCCGTGGTCCACTGGACCGGCCCTGCACCCTCCGTGGGAGCCCACCCTCCGGCCCGGGTCCTGGGGAGCCTCCCTGCCACGTTGCCAGCGCGAGGCTCCCCCATGGGGACCTCAGGCGCTGGCGTTGCTGAAAGAGCTTGAGGGCCTCGCGTCCCCCTGCAGCCCCGACGGTTGCTGGCGGGCCTTAGGCCTTAGTCTGGCCTAGGCCCGTGGGCCCCGTGCGGCTGTGCTCAGGTGTTCGGTATTCCTTGACTTATAATTTGAACCTTGCACTTTTGCAAACAACAGTGTTGCCTCAGCAATCTGAGCAGCATCAGGAAGATTGCAAGTGGTGGGCGCCCAGCTGGGGGGGGTGGGGTGGGGGTGAGAGGCCAGCATTAGGGACGCCAGGAGGTCCTGGAGTCCCCCGGGTTTGCCAGTGGCTTGCGCCAAACCCCGGGTTCTACCCTGGACTCTGAAGTTTCCTAAAGCTGCCTTGGGCCATGTTTTAAAATGAGGGGTGTCCTGGGCCACAATTCAGTGACTCACTAGTAAATTTTGATCATCTGAAAGCCCTCTTTACCCTTAAGAGACTAATATATGTAGTGATGATATTGATGATAATAAATTTAGGAAGACTATGGTGATTCTTCCATTCTTCTGTCTCACACGCGCCTCTCAAATTCAAAACAGGTCCCCTTTTTGCTATTGTTAACTTCAGAAACCAAAGCAAGCTATTCCAGCTTTTGTTCAAAATAGAACTTAATCCACAATTGAGGTTTTGTTTTTCTAGATTTGAAAATCTCTGGAATTTGCACAAATGCCTTTTACCTCAACACCTTTTGTCCAAATAGCATAAAATGGTATTTCTCTTTCCTTCTCCAGACTGCATTTCAGATATCCTGCATACACAGCAAATTGTTCACCATTAAACATACTCTTATTAGGGGGCTATTAAATGGTGCTTTCAACTAATGTTTATCTTTGCATTTAAAAGAGGGTTAGACGTTGCCAAAACAATCAGCAATGGTAATATACAAGGTACTTTGCAAGTCTCTAAACTTTTCCTTCTCTGGAGTTCACAGTGTTCCCTTCTGGATTAGATTACTCGGGTACTCAATAGAGATGTTTTCTCAGCTCATTTAATATTATGCCCCTGAACTTTTATCTCATATCATTTTAAGAAATGGTCAGGGGAAGAACAACTTAAATTTTCTGTAAAACTGCCATAGACATTCATTATGTCACTTAATATAAAAAAACCTTGCAAATATTTTCCATTTATATTTCAGTGCTAGCATAAAATTTGACTTTATTATTATTATTATTATTATTATTAACTAATGAAAGCCACAGAATGCACTGTACAGTTCTTTTTGCCTTCACTGCCGGGAGTCTCAGCTTCATTTTCTGTTCAGTTTCAAGAATTCCTCCTAGCCTAGGTTTTCTGGACTAGTTCCCATTCTATATCTTCCCCTTTTCCCCAACCCCACCAGATTTTTCTTTCTCTGATTTATTTATCCCATCTTTGTTTAAGGTACCTATATCCTCTTTTATGATATAGAGTATCACTTTCCAGAAGTGGTTGGATATGAAAATGAGTTATTCTAGATTCCCTCAAAATGTTCTTTCAATCTGCCTTAAACAGCACAGTCGTGTTCAGTTTCGGCCTCTGCTTGGGTGACATTCACTTGCAAGACTCCCCAAGGCCTACCCAGAATTGTGTGCTGGGCTCTGTCCCTCTCTCTCCCCTCAAGAAAGCATTTCTAGTCTAATGTGTTGCTGTGGTGAGTGAGTCACTCACAAGCTTCAATACTTTTGTTATTAGTAACAACTGACTCGCAACACATCTGGCAGCTGTGGGTGCCCCACCCAGTGCCCAGACCTTGGGTGCAGTGCAGCTGCTCTGAGATATGCTGGGACACCACAGTTTGTGAATTATTCCTTATTTTCCCTCAAGGAGTAGCACAGATTTCCCTAATTTCAAGTGTGGGGAGTGCTCCACGCATCGTTCAACAAAGCCTGACATCTGTGCTTCCTTCCGTACAACAGGAAAACTTTCTCATTTCCCCAGAGTGTCCACGGTGTCTGCCAATTGTGAGGAAAGTAGCATTTGCAAAGTCACTCCAGTAGCAACTGGGGAAAATGCTTGGATTCAGAGGACCCTTAGAGGAAAGGCTGATGGAGATGGGGAAGGGAGTGAACATTTCCTGAACCTTAGCTATGTGCCAGGCACCGGACCGAGTACTTGCCTACTGTTTTTAGCCTTCCCAGCAAGCCTCTGAAGTAGACACACTTATTATACCCCTCTTCCAAATGAGAAAACAGGCTCAGCGGGGCTGAAGGGCTTGCTCAAGTTATATCACTATTTAGTGGTGAATTCTGGATTCTAACCCAGTTTCCTAAATGGCGGGGCTCATTCCATGTTCACTGTAAATACTGCACACAGATAGCAAACCTGTTAATACACTCCCATGGACTGAGCACACAGGGCTATGTTGTGCAGGTACTCTGAGACCAGAGGGCCTGAGTTCAAATCCCAGCTCTGTCACTAGGTGCATGACCTTCAACAAATTACTTAACCTCACCGGGTCCCTGTTTCATACAACGATAAAATGGGGATCGTTGTAAGGAGCGAATCAGTCCATCCTGGCACAATCTCAGCATTCAACGTGTTCGTGTTAACTATCATTCTCTGTTATACCCCAGTAGGGTATAAAATTGCAGGATGGAAAATGTTGCTTTTTTTATTGCAGGATAGAAAATGTTGCTTTTTTTGCCCAAACGATGGTGTTTTTATGTCTGCCTATCACTTAGAAATCATTCATTTGGAATGGTAGACTTGATAGTGGGTTCATCTTTGGAACCACCCAGGGAGTTTTATAAACTACTGATGCCTGTGTCCCACCCCTAGAGAGTCTGATTCCATTGGTCTGGGGAGTAGCCTGGTATGGGGGGAAGGGAGTTCTTAGTGGTTCTCAAAGTGTGCTTGCTGAACTGCAGCTCAGTATAACCTCGGAGCTTGGACCTACGAAATCAGATACTTAGGGAATAAAACTCAGCAAAGCAAGTCCTCTGGGTGAGCTGATGTCCACGAATGCCTGAGAACCATTGCCGTAAGGGAAGGTAGTGCCCTGAGAGACCGCCTCATCCTAAATCCAAGGCCCAGAGACAGATTGACCTGGAGGGCTTATCTGAATATTCATTTACACTGAACAGTGAACCATGGCTATGCTAGTCTCCCTAGAGCATAATATGCTGTGATTCCATCAGCCCATCCTCTCCAGCCCCAGGTAAGTCAAGTCTCATCAGAAGGCTTTTTGTTAAATGTTGAAAGACATCAGGCTTTGATGGCCTAATTTGTATATTTCATGATGGAGATCATAATACCATCAACCAAAAACATTAAATTCCTCAGAGCCTGTATTATCCAGATCCCTTGGCTGCTGGCCTCACCTGCCTCTCTTCTCTCAGAGCTGCCCTGCCACAGGCCTGCAGACACTGAGACTGCCTTTCCCCTCCTGGGCGCCATGAAAGAAGTACAGCCATCTTTGCCTTGGTTCCTCTCCTCTCTGCTCCCACCATTCTGCTCCCTTTCCCAAAATTGCCACAGTCTTACTCTGGGGTTGATACACTTCAGGAAGTCTGAGTTGGATCTTGCAAGCCATCGAGCAGCTCTATCCCCCCTAGCGACTTCGTAACTCTGCTCGGACCCCTGATGCGACACTCTGACACTCTCAGAGGCATGGATACCTATTTCCCTCGTTTTCTGATAGAGCAACTCCCCAGAGCGCTCACACTCTTCAGCACCTGTGTCTTGTCCCTGCTCCTTCAGCCACCATTAGTCTCTTTTGAAAATAAGCAATGTTCGTGTTAAGCATTTGCCTTCAATGTTTCTCCAAATCCTGTGGAGCCCGTGATCAGATGTTTCTCCAATGTCATATAGCTTTCGTCATCTGATTAAAGAGAAATACCATTGTAACTTCCAGCGAAACAGATGCTAGCTGTGTGTTTTTGGTGTTGTAACTTCTCACAGGAAAAGAGCTCATGTTTTCCTCATGTAACCATCCACTGGGAAACATACAGTAAAACTTTATAATGTTTTTTCTTAACAATGCACTTACTTCTAGATAACTTTGCCTCAGCTTTTAAGCCAGTGAACAAGCAACAGAGTCATCAATTCAAGAGCAAAAGAATGACAGCAGGGAATGCCCAAGTAGGGAAGAAAGCCGAAGAGAGAAGGATAGAGTGAACTAGTGGGGAGGGAGAGGGGAGGAGGCAGAAGGATAGGCAGATCCAGGGGTTCCCAAATCTAGGCTGAGGAGAAGCTACTCAGGCAAGTATTAAACTTGGTCTTCAGAGGCCGGCTGAGTGGCTCAGTTGGTTAAGAGCTCGCTCAAGAGTTTGAGCTCTGAGCAACAGCGGTTCGATTCCCGGCCCCAGCTGAGCAGCCGCTGAACTGCCAACAGGTAGCAGGATGGCTCAGCTAAAAAACAAACAAACAAACAAAAAACAGAACTTAAACTTGGCCTTCACAATTAAGGAGAAAAGGGAAACATGACAAACTCCATTATTCTGTAGCAGGATGATACGGGGGGTGGGGGTGGGTTTCTACTGCTATAGAATTTCAGCTGATACCTCAAAGCTAAGAACTAGGGCTATGATGGGGCCACCACACATTCTAAGGATGAGAGCTAGACCATCCACACAGAACTTGCTAAGCAGTGACCCATAAAACCCAGTCCAGGGACCCTGAGTTCCATCACCTGCCACAGGATGTAAAGAGGAGGTGGGGACGTTGGTGAATAGGATGAGAGTGGTGGAACTTATTTGAGGAGAGTAGCGGGTAAGCTGAGGACCTGAATCTTCACCTCAGGCCAAGTGGAGGGAGCTTCCAGAGAACCACTCGGAGCCTGGGATCTCCCAGGAGGGGCCTGACATCTTGCCTCCTGGCCGTGATTAAGTTAAGGATCTTGAGGTTACAAGATTATTCTGGATCATCTGGGTGAGTCCAGTACCGTCAGAAGGGTCCTTATAAGTGAATGGGGAGGCAGGGGAGGCAGAGACAACGAGAGGTTGGTAGACGCTGTGCTGCTGGCTTTGAACCTCAGGAAGGGGCTTCGATCCACGGAGTCCAGGTGGCCTGAAGAGGCTGGAAAAGTAAGGAAACGGATTTCTGGTTAAAGCAGAGCTGTGGAAATTGGCCCCATGCCATCACAGGACTGAGGCAATGTGGGGAATGTTTTCTTAGGAGGGCTTGACCTGTGTGCCCAGGAATTTAGGGAAACACTAAGGCTGGAGTCTGACTGTAATTATGTCTGTAATGTAATCTGTAATGCTTCAAATAGGCACAGTGATGCTGTGTGTGTTTGTTGAGCTACACCCTTACCTACACTCCAAAGGTAGCTACCACAAGATATATAGTTATCTTTTATCTTTGAACAAGACCAGAGACTTTGATAATTAGCATAATGAACACTTAAAATGGGTGTATTTTGTAAAATTAATAGTAAAAGTTATGTGGATTGACCAAATATTTGAGACTCTTCTCACACTTGCATGAACGGAGCACACATAGATCCACTACCCTTAGTGGCACCAGAAGCTTGATCCCTAAATGGCCCTGTTGCTAGCAATTGGTCCCAAGAAATCTGGTTGTCTGATGCTAATCCTACAGTTTATTAGAATCTTACCTTTATGATATCATGATGTGTCCCTTAAATGAATCTTTTGTGCAAAAACAAAGAGCATTCACGATAACCTAAAGCAGAGTTGTGAAGGACTAATCAACCCTCACCTACTTCTACATATTGGTGACTACTGTTACCTCCCACAAACAATCCAATGGCCGAAGTGGCCTAGGAAAGTTCAAGGTACATAACACTGAAACTTACCAGGAAGAATCCAAAGGTGAAACTGTGGCTACAGCTGCCTGGGATAGGGAAGAGGAGAGGTTGGGTAAGGGCCGTGTGCTTTGCAGTGCTGGGCAAAGCCCAGAGGTGTGTGCCCTATGGGTCAGATGGAGGCTATGGAAGGTATCACTGTAAAAGAGATGCCTAACCCCTCCTCCAAGGAGATGTTCCTCACAGAAGGTTGGATTTTTGACGGGTGTACTGTTTGTTGGTGAAGGAACTGAGGGAAAAGCTATTAGGAGGCAGCCAGTGGTTGGGACACTTTGCTACAGTGCTGTGTAATTGGAGGTCTCCACAATACTGCACGAGTAAAGATCTATCCCTGGGCCATCTGACACACTCCGAGTCAGCCCCATGTGCCGGTTCCCTCCCCACCTTGAAGGAGCCAGAACCCACAAAGTGAGTGGAGGAGGAGTGGAAGGATCGGGTGGGAAACGCATCAAGAAGTTGACTACCTTTGTCCCCAGCACACCCTCTACACTTCTGCAGGGTTCAGAGTCTTGTTTGGGCCCAAACTAGGGTGGGGTAAGTGTTATATTAGATGAGAGATTAAAGCTTTGCTGTCAGACTAGATTGGACTTTCCATACCTCCAAATGAGCTGTTTTACTAACTTCTGAAAGTGACCAGAAAAGCTTTAGATATGCCCAGCATTTCACCCAGGAAAGTGGAAGAATAAATGAACAGAGGGGCTTAAGAGGGTGGTGACCAGAGAACAATTAAGTTTATTTTTTATATCCAACTGAGTCCAACTTAATCAAGTATCAAAGCTTTCATTACTGAATGAAAGGGACTTGGTATATTTACTGTAATTTTCCGAATTATTTATTTTTATATCTCATTAAGTAGAAATCAAGGGGTGACAAATCAGTTTCTGAGCATATTCTTTAAAACCACAAACAAATAGCAGTGAGATGGAGAAGTCAGGCGATATGAATTAGTTACCTATTGCTGCTGTAACAAATTAACACAAAGTTAGTGGCTTAAAATGACACAAATTTATTATCTTACAGCTCTGGAGGGCCGAACTTTGAAATGCATTTCACTGGGCAAAAATCAAGGTGTAAGCGGGCCATATTTCTCCTGTAGGCTCTGGGGAGAAACCTGTTTCCTTCTTTTCCAGCTTCTAGAGGCCACTTGGACTCCTTGTGTTGATGCCCCTTCCCCGGGTTCAAAACCAGCCGCACAGCCTCTTCCAGCCTCTCTCTGACTCTGCCTCTGCTGCCTCCCCATTTCACTCATAAGGACCCTTCTGACGGTACTGGACTCACCCAGGAGATCCAGAATAATCTTGTAACCTTAAGATCCTTAATCACATTTGCAGAGTCCTTTTTGCCATGTGAAGTGATATATTCACAGGTTCTGGGAATTAGGGGATGGACATCTTGAGGGGGCGTGTCATTATTCTGCCAACCATAGGACAGGCTCAGGTGCAGGAGCTGGGCCCTTACCGGTTAGCCATGGCCTGGAGGAAACAGGCTCTGCACAGTCTTGGGGAAAATACATAATCGACCCAGACCTGTTTCTTCATCTGTGGAATTATAGAATTACTATAGCTGTTCTCTAAAGTGCCTTCCAAACCTAAACCCTATGCTCCTTTTCTCTTTGGCAAAATAAACATTTGAAGAAAATCTGGCTGCTGAACCCAAGAAACCAAAAGAAAGCCTGGGCCCAGGAAGCTCTGCCAGGGCATACTGGGGGAGCCCCGGAAGAAGGCGAGCAGCCCTCCGCTTTCCCAAAGGCAGAGGAGGCTCGCGGAAGGCACAGGTGGGAAGTGCTGTCTGAGAGGCCTCTCCAGGAGAGGACAACGTGTTGTCCTATTCCTTTCTGCTGAATCACCATGGAAGGTCTTGGGCGATGGTGCCACTCAGCAATGGCTGCTTACTCAGCATACCGGAGTGGTCCAGGGAAGCCGCAGTGGGGTGCTCCTCTTAGTCGACACACAGACTCAGTCTAATCTTTTTGGAGCCACAGACTCTTAGAACAGCAGGTCTTAGAACACCAGAGATGGAAGAGACCTCAGAAACCATGTCACAGATATTCTTCCCATCAAACTTCTCATCATGTGATCTTGAGCTGGTTGTGTTTTATTTTTCCAGCTAGTCTGATAAATCACATTGTTTTGGTGACCTATTTCCCTCTCTGGTCTGGCCTTCAAATTAAGGTTCACTTATGCACCCTCAGCCCCATGAGCCTCAGCGAGACCCCTCAGGACCCCCCTAGGTCACCTTTACCTTCCATTTTCAAGGCGGTGTCATCTACCAGCAAGAGCTCTGGGCCATAAATTTAGACCTCCGAACAGCTGGGGACGTTCAGCACATCATACCATCCCTTTGGGCCACATTGGGGATTGACCCTATTTCCTCCAAAGTCCCTTCCAGTGCCCGTATGAGGGGATCAGAGTAAATCATCTTAAAAGTCCTCTTCAGTTCGGGAAGTCAATCAGCCTCTGTGACAGAGCTCCTGAATATATTGGTCTGTCTGGGGAAAGCCGTGGCTCCCCTCCAAATGCAAGCCTTCCTTGAATTCGCCTTTTCCTGCGGCTTGCAACGGCCATGTTTGTCCTCTTCCCAGAAAGGTAAACGGTACTGAAGCCACAGCCTCAGGGAGGCCAGGCATTCTGCAGAGAGCTCCTTTCCTTTCCTGAGCAGGTTTCTCAGTCCCTCTCCTCCTGGTCTAGACTAGACTGTCACCTCTACTCACCAATCCCCTGAGGGGTCGTGGTGGGATTGTGGAGATCCAGAAACTGAACTGTGACTCTCATTCTTTATCCATGTGACAGGCCAGATGATCCTTCAGCTGGGCCTGCCTAACCAGACCGGCACTGGGTCACTGTGTGAATGAGTGCGGAGAGGTTCCTGCCTGTCTGGTGACTCTGAGGACAGGTACTGCTGATCAGTGGGTGGATGTGTCACCTCTGTACCTAGAGCATCCAGAGCACCCAGGACCCCCCTCCCCCAGGGCCTCTGTGGAATGCCCTGACCCCTGCCTCACCAAGGACGACTCCTTCCCAGAACCTTCCTGGCTCTTTGGAACCACAAAGGTGCTCTCTGAAAGAGAACAAACCACCCCAGGGTTGCTCCATGTCAGAGTCCGTCGGCATCTCGTGTTTTCTCTATAAAAACGAACAATCTTTTTCTGCTCATCCAGCAAGGACAAGCCTCCTTTTATTGCTCACATGGGTTTATGCCCACCCTTGGGACTACAGGAGGAAACTGAACGGCTTATCTGTGTGTGAACCAGCTACCCATACCGTCCAGGGCCCAGTGCAGACTTGTCCTCTTTGAGAGGGTCTCCCTTCTCCCTGGGAGGAGAGAGAGGCCTATTGATCATGCCGTGGGCGGGCGAGCACTTCTCCAGGCAGCAGGCAGGGTGTTCCCCCAGGGAGGCAGAAAAGCCGCCTCCAAAATCGAGCATCTCATGCTCTGTGTTCTGCTTTGTTTCTGCTCTTTCCTACTTCGCTGTACCTCCTTGGCCAGGCGCTCCGCGCAGGGAGAGCACTTACTTCTTCCATACCCTTTGCACAGTGTGCCCTTTGTGTGCCTTTGATGTCGCTGTTCAGTTCTCCAGGGAGGGGACGAGCGTCTCTCCCACCTACAGGCTCACTCCCGCGGTCACGCAGAGGAAGTGAACGAAGGCATGACTGTCCCCAGGGAGAGGGAGACTGGGGGTGGGTCGGCCTGGAACGTCCTGGCAGAGGTGCACCGCAGGGCTGAGCCGCCCCCATTGTCAAGTGTAGGTCTAGACGCCAGGTCCTGACCCTGTCTGCTCGGAGGCCCCAGCCGAGCTGAGGCTCTGAGGGAGAAGTATGGCAGGAGGAGCCAGAACGTCCTGGTCTGCCCGCCTCTGCCGCTGTGTGACCTACACGACACTGTACCTCCCAGGGCGAGCCGCTGTGCTCAGAGTGGAGCAACAACTGCCGCCCCGCCTGCCTTTTTGCCGGGGCTGATGTTGTGAGCAACAAACAACACTCTCTGAGGAGACGATATGAGAAGTACAAGCCCTTTGTGAGTCAGCGAGGGAGTCGTTACCCTGTCTTTCCCCACGGTGTACCCGTCACCCCGCCACCCCCATTCCCAGGAGCATCTAGTGAGGTCGTGCCGCCCCCTAGCGGCCAAACCTCTGCCTAGAATTCATTTCTTTTAAATTTCACTTCTATTACAACCATAAAAATTAATAATGATGACTGTGTAATAATAAACGCAGCCTGCATTATATCCATTTTTATACCAGTGCAGTCATCAAATATAATTAACTTTTTTTTTTAATGGAGGAAGTGGCACACAAAGGGAGAAATGCATGGTGCAGCCATGGACCCAACCTGGGAGGCATGTCCCAACAGGGCCTTCCCCAGCCTGCAACGTGGCTGCTGGCTGCCCCTCTAAGCCTGCAGGGAGCCTGCCTAGGGCCTGATGGTGGCCACTTGCCAAGGGTTCCCCCAAAAGGCCCGTATTTCCCCCAAGATGATAGGATAAAGGAACAGGTGAGAAACCAAAGCACTTGGCTGCTCTTCTTCAGCCTTTAAAACCTTTTAAAATCCCCCAAAGGTTTACAAAATGCCTTGATGAATAGCTATCTTTCTCTTTGCTGTAACTGAAACAGCACTAGTTGTCCTGGAGAGAAATTAGTGTTTCTGCATATTAAAAATAACAAGCGACCATTAACTGCTGTGCTCCCTTCTTTATGAGAGACCCCCTCACATGTGTTCTCAGACTGCTCACCACAGTCCTGTGGTGGCAACGACCCTATTTTCAGATGAGGAATTTGGGGTCCAAGAAGTCACATGCTGTTGAGGGGGGGGGGACCAATAGCTTGAACCCAGGTATTCTAGCTTCAAATCCCTCCCCTTCTCCCAGAGTGCTTGGAGTTGAATTACCCTGGCTCTGCAGATGGAGAATGCAGAATGTGAACCATCTGCGTGGTGAAAAGGAAAACACTGAGAAAAAAAAAATTAACAAGCCTTTTCCCTCCATACCTGTGGAATAATCTATCAATCGTCATCCTCTAGTCATGATGAATAATCGACTGGAAACTAATGCTCTTTGATCTGGCTAACCACTTTCCTTTTCCCTTCTCATCTGACCAGAGTCAACATTCCAGATAGCTCTTTTCCCAGGCCTCAGAGGAACTTCCTTTTAGACTCAGCTTCCTGGCATTGGGCCTGGGGTGTAAGGTCGACAGAGGCTTGCTTCCATGCCCCCCACCAGCCCCATGCCCTAGCTTTCCTCCTAAGCAGGCAGCATGAAGGACATCTGGAGACCCACTGCAGAGCTGAGAAGAAGTTTGTCGACTTGGTGTCTAGTATAGCCTTGCTTGGAGGAGACCAGTGAGCACAACAGTGAAAAGCTGGGAGGGTTTGACAGTGGAGGGGCAGGTGGAGAACTATGTCACAGAGGCCTCGGGGACCGAGGAAGGCAGTTGACCACCCACCACAGGTGCTGCTAGTTTCAGGACTGGGTTCCCCGAGAAGGGCCTCTGACACCCCCAGAGCAATGAAGTGATAATGCAGACTTGCTTCTTTACCCATGTGAGACCGGAACATTTGAGCATGTGAGCAGAAAGCTTTCTCCCAGATCTTGCATCTCGGATGGGACAAAGTGACATTACACAGTCCAGAGAAACTCACATTTCGTCAACATCTCCTGTGTGCCAGCCCCTGGCGTGTTTGCATATGTCCTCTCATTTAACATATAGGACACAACACCCTGTGAGGTTGGGCTTATTTGCCCTCTTTTACATATAAGAAAATTGAGGTTCAGAGAGGTGGAGCGATTTGACTAAGATCACACAGCTAATTAGGAAAGTATCAGTTCGAGGTATGGTGTAAGCTCAGGAAAACGCTGCACCGTTGAGACTATAGTTTGCCTGACACCCCCTGGACACTTTTCTGCTTTCGGGCTGAAAAAAGTCCCTCTTGTGAGGTGAGTGCATCTGACCTTCTGTTGATTGGAATTTACAAACTGAAGTGATGCATACATGTGCCTACACTCAGCGTTGGCCTTTGTCCCAGTTTCCTGTCCCCTTCCTCTACCACGTAGGAAGGCCAAGTCATGGCTGTGTCAATCCCTGTGGTCTCATTTGTCTGCCTGCCCTAGACATCTGGGCAGCGGTGGGGCAGCGGACCAAGATAAGAATGGAGAAAACATGGGCTTCAAGCCAGGCAGGCTTGGGTTTAAATTCCACCTCTGCCATATTTCCAGGAAAAGCAGCCCAGATTCTAGGATGGGGATGGGGACTCAGAGGTTACAGTCAGAATCACGCGGTCTCAGCCTGCTTCCGAGTAGTGGAAGGCACGTGCCAAGGCCAGAGCTCCACAGAACAGAGGGTCTCCCTGCCCAGACATGGGGAATGGGCTACTGCTGGGAGCTGGCAGCCCTCAGCCCCGGGGAACCCAATTTCAGAAGCCCAAGTAAGACTCAGGTGGCTTCTGTTCCCCCAATTCTCTCCCACACACAGGTGTAAAACTCACTTTTAAGGCTCTGGACATGTGCCAGATGTAACCATCCCCAGGAGAGGATGACACTTCATCACGTTAAAGAGAAACAATCGAATTAGGGGAGAGCGTCCGTGTGGAGCCCATCCAGGCTTTACACATGGTCTTGAGGCCTCTGTTTCCACATCTTTAACATATAATACATAAAATAACTCATTTAAATTCTCACAGTAGCCCCGTTCCCATTTTTCTGATGAGGTGGGCATGTAGGTCAATCACCTGCCCAAGGTGGGGTGTGAGTAGCAAAGCTGGACTTTGAACTCAGCAAACGGCAGTGTCCCAGCTCTTGACCTCTGCACTGTTCTGGTTCTTACGGGGATAATGAGGCCTTCCTCTTGGGTATGAGGGCAGGATTAAAGCTTGTGGCACAAAGCAAGCACTCAATTAACGCTCTTTTCCTCCCCTGGCCTTTTAGATTTGCGAGGAGAGGACCACAGCCTACCTCTCTCAGCCAAGGTCTGTCTCGTACATACAGGTGCTCAGCCAGTACCTGAAAGATGAATGAAAGGGCAGGTAGTGATAAGGTGGGTGGCCAGAGGGAGGGGAGGCACGTGTGTGACGTTGGGGTCAGAAGGCTGAAGCTGTGACAAACGCCCTGGTTCTCCTGAGGCCAGCCCTGCGTGCTCAGGTGCCACTACACTGACTTAGGGGCTTCAGCTCCTACCTGCCCGTTATGTCACAGTGTCAGCCTCAGAGCTCAGCTGCAGCCTGGGAGCCCCAGATGACAGGACAGCCTGGGGAGGAGAAGGCACCCCCCCCACACACCCATCTTCTGCTGAGAAAAGACTGAGGCTGCTCACTGCGGGTGGCAGTGTCGGGTGATGGGTGGAGGGTGGGGGACTGGGGTGCGGAAATAGGGCTGCTCGGTTCTAGGCTTTTTATAGCTCAGGCCCACACCCAAGCGGTGGCTGCCCCATCCCTGCTGTAGCCTGAGTCAACCACTGGCAAATGGCGTATGTTTCTGAGAACCCAGAAAGAGGTCTCTGTAGGGGCAGATGGAACCCAGCTCTCTGATGGACTGTCTCAAAGCCACCTCGGCACATTTCAGCCAGAACCCGCCTTCACCAACACAGGCTGTCAGGGCAATGGTTACAGAGGTGCATTCACTTCTGTTTATCAAGACTACACGGGCCAAGGTCAGGTGTACGCGGGCCAAAACAAGCAGACCTTGACAGGGCAACATACCGAAGTATTGGTTTCACCATGTTCTCTCTAAATGTGCCTCAGCTCAGTTGATGCATCACGATTGGGATGGTCTGACATGACTAAAACGGACAGCCTCTCACTGCTCCAACTTGGTTTATAGGCACAGCCTGCATATCCGATGCAAGGTGAGATGAGGCCAATTTTTCCCCCCACAAAGTGGAGTCACTGAGTCCCTCTCTTGCTTGGATGTTTTGGGAGTGGTGGTTTAAAAATTCCACCCACTGCCTCAGTCTGCTCTGCTCCTTGTAAGTACAGTGACCACCCCAGACTCCACGAGAGATTAAGCCACTGTTCCCTGTTCCGTTTCATTCCACATGACCAGCCGAACTGGGCTTTTCTTGTTCAGGATCTGCAAAGGACAGTCAAGATCCTGCTAAAATCCCTGGCATGTCCAAAGGGTTCTTGAAATGACAAGTTTTTTGCACTGTCGACATTTTCATCATCAGTGAATATTTTATGAAGTGTCCACACCGAGGCTGCTTGTTAGTTCTGAACCCAGATAAGAGGGAAGGTTCTTTATTCTGTTTCGGGGTGGGGGGCGGGATTAGTCAGTAAATTGTGTTTCTTTTAACTTCTAAAAGCCTTCCTTTTCCTGGGGTGGGGGGGTGGGGGGTGGAATGTCATTTTTGTTTTTGCAAATAAAAGAGTAAAAGCTTTTGCTAATGCATATTATTTTTTCAGTTATCATTTGGGTTTGCAGACAGTGCTTGTTTTCTGAAACCCTGAAATTACCTTATTTCTTTGCACTAAAAATACTTAGTCAGAGTCAGTTGAACACTGGTTGAACTCATGACTTGTAGCAACTTGCGAATTCAACAGATGGTTTCATTTTTTCCGGCCCGCCCTCCCCCTTTTCATCCACTCCACCCAAGAACAAATCATTCAAATACTGTGCTGCTGGAGTGAGTCACAGATCTGTCATGGACCAAGTTCTCTACCATCCGCAGTCTTGCGCTGTCCCCTTGTGGTGAGGACAGCATGGACCAGCTGCCTCGCTCACGGTCCCTTCCCTCCATGAGAGCAGGGGCTGCTGGACTGATGTAAAGAAGCAAATGGCACGAAGAGCTTGTAAGGGCCTGAATGGCCCCAGGTCCGTGGGCACTAAATGCCATGTTCTGTACTCCCCAGGGTGAAGCGGCTCTAGGCTGTGGACTCGGCCTTTGCCTCCTGTTTGAGACACAGTGACACAGACTCCCTCAACAAGGAAAGTCACCCCCTGGGAACTGGATGCTTGGAAAGGAGCAGGAACTCTTTCAGGCCTTTGCAGAAACAGCCAGGGTAGGAGCTCCATTGGGGGGGCGGGGGGGGGGCGGGCTGTGTTTTAACCACCTGGCTATGCTCAGAGCCTGCCCCATTGCCTGACCCTTGGTAAATACACCTTAGATACCTGTGAACTGACTTCAATTAGTCTCTGTTATCAATAGTCATTTACTGAGCATTTAGTATTTTGGGTCTCTGATTAAGATGAGGGATGCAAAGAGTTTGTATAAAGGACAGTCTTGACTCTGATCGGAGTCTAGTTGGAGAATTGGGCCTGGCCTAAGAGATCACACTTGCCAGCCTAGAATGATTATGTTTTCATTGCTCACGGAATAACACAGGCACTAAAAGGCACCAAGTGTTTGGGGGAAAGAAGACACCCACTGACGACTCGAAAGCAGGGTTAGCTTGTCTGACTGGAAGAAATGGAGCTGTGCCTTTAAACAAGTAACAATAGTAAAATCAAGTACCTCCTACCCTGTGCCAGTGTCCTTTATGTGTGTGTATCACTAATTCTCACAACATTCATGCCAGGGAAGTGTTAGCATTGTCTACCCACAGATGAGGAAACTTGGGCTCAGAAGTGAAGCAATTCTGCCCAAGGCCACACAGCACTAAGGAGGAGGGCCAGGCTTCTAAGGCAGGTCAGTCTAATGCCAGAACCCATGCCCCTTCCACCACCTCCTGCCAAGGAGGAAAGGTCTCAGACTTTCTCAGGTACCATGAGGCTTAATTTGAAGCAGCTTCCAAAGCAAGCCACTGCTGCCTCTAGGAAGCAAGGGCCCAGCCAAGGAAAGCTGGTAGCCTCAGGTTCTCGGCACACAACACTGTACGGGGTGGCAGTGGAGCCTCGGGGTTGCTGAGAGCGATGCCAGGACGTGGCCAGCTTGCAAGCACAGCGGGTAGGCTGGGCGGAGGTGTGGCATTAGCATGGCTGCCGGACAGGCTCTCCACGGCACACGGCAGGCGAGTAGCATCCACTGCCAGGCTTCAGAAGACCTCTGATTTCAAATCTCATGATTTGGACGTTTTATAAAGAGGCCAGGGACCCCAGGATTGGACGTGGAAGGATTCGATTACAGTGGGACTCTAGCAAAGCCATACAGGTTGATACACAGTATAGGGGTTAAGTTGCTGGACTCCAGAACAAATGGTTTGGATTTGAATCCTGGCTCAACCACTTACTAGCTGTGTGCAAGTACCTCCTCATGGATTCCCTTCCTCCTACCACAGGGCTTTTGAAATATGTTAAATGAGTTAATATACGTGAAACAGGATGGCACCTGGAACCTAGTGCTTATTGTATCATGATGGTAAGTAGGAGTTGCTGTCTTGAATCTTCCGCCACCAGAATTTAACAAAGGCACGTACCTTTAGAGTTGCTATCAAAGATTCATGGCTGGATTAGGGACCTAAATGAGGCTTAAGTGGACATGTCTAAAGACACTAGTGGTCCTTTGGACACAGGGAAATCCTTACTGTGTTCAGAATAAGGCTTGCTGGTCAGCTGATAGATTTACTGCGAGATCTCCTATCACATGTAGCCGAACAGTGTCCTCTAGTGGCATAAGCACTTATTACTACCACATACTGCAAACTAAAAGGCTCTTCTTGTAAGGAAAGAACCGATTGTCTGTCGGAGTATGGGAGCTGATCATGCACGTGGAAGGTCGTCCTGGACCAAAAGGAAGTGGCAGCCCGAGGAGCCCTGTGCGCTGGCAGTGTAGTTACCGTGACCTTTAAAAGTCATGTCTTCCCCACTAAAGCCAGCCCCGCTGAGAAAGCCCAAGGGAATACACTTCTAGAGAACACACAAATGGTGTGAATCTTTTCGAAAGTCACACAAGTGAAGAAAAGCCTTAAAAAAAGTTCATCTCAAAGGACACAGGAACTAGCTTAAAGGGATTCCCATTGGCACCATCAGGGTCATTTAAGCAACAAAATAAATGACAACAATGGATTATAAACCACAAAGTGAGTCCATACTGATATACATAAACAAATGAATACACGAAGAAGGTTAAGCCCTTCTCCTTACAGTGAGTGGGGTTCCAACTAATAAACGTAGAAAGAATTCTAGAATTATAAATTGTTTTCAATAACTATTTCAGGCAAAAATCATCCATGGATCTAAAATTCATAGGCAGAATTATGATGAAAAACAATATCTGATCTTAAAGTATCTCCCCCATAAGAAACTTATCAATTACAATGTAAAAATAGCAACATTTAAATAGAGAACACTGGCAGATACCACCTTTGCCAAAGTTAAGAACAAAGTTAACACAATCAGTAATGGGACAAAGCGACGTCATGTGCCTCATATGACACACTGAGGACACACCTCACTCCTGTTGTGTTTCTACCAAAACCACAAAAGCTGAATCTAATCACGAGAAAATACTAGACAAACCCCAATTAAGGTACATTCTAGAAAATCATTGCTTTACACTGGAGAGCAGGATGAAAGAAACCTGTAGTAATGGATTGGAATTAGAGGTTTTGTATGAAAGGAATGAATGATACCCCAGTACAACGAGCGTACATAACGCCCGAACTTGGTCCCTCATGCAAAGAACACGCACATCTGAAGAGGAATGGCTTGTTCCAGAGTTGAAGCAGAGAAGGTACAATGTGAACTTGGATTAACTCCTTGTACAAGAAAGTAATATAATGCTCCCAAACTAATGGGGACATATTGGAAGGTCAAAGGAACTGGGTTACAGGAGCTTCTACTTGGCTTAATTAGGGATAATTTCAGTATCATAATGAATAATGATAAAAATGAATTACAACACTGAATTTTTAAAAAAATCTAAGTCCATAGATACAAATATTTTAAAAAGGAGGTGGAGAAGGGAAAGCTCTTCTTTATAGAAGAATGCCAACCCATAAATGTTTAAGCAAGTTAGAAACAGAAAAATCACCATTTTCCAACCAATATTTAAAAAACAAAACTTGATTCAGGCAAGACCATTCATGCATGGTAAAGCAACTGGTGAAAACTCTCAAGGAACAGGAAAT